CCCTCTGTCACTGGTCTGCTTCATACCTTTTATGGACAGGAACTCTAGGCGTAGCCAAGGGCCAGTTGGGTCCAGTTTGTGAACCAGCAGATATTGTCTCTGCTTTTTGAAGATGACATGGTTCGTTGTGTTCAAAGCCAAGTGCGTAGCAGCCGGGATGAAAATGAGCTCCTGCAAGTCCGAGGCCATGGTTCTGGACAGGAAATAAGGTGGTGTGTCCCCTTCAGGTTAGAGGAGAGTCCCTGCCTCAAAGTGAGGAGTTCAAGCATCTTGGGGTTCTGTTCATGAGTGAGGGGCGAATGGAGCAGGAGACTGAAAGCTTCCATCATGAGTCTATTATAGTAGTCTATTTTGAAGATAGAGCTGAGCAAAAAGGCAAAGCTCTCGATTCTTACCCTCACCAGTGTTCATATAATTTAGGTTTTGACTGAAAGACAAATATCTATAATAGAAGTGACTGCAATGAGCTTCCTTCACAGGGTGGTCAGCCATTCCCTTAGAGACGGGCTGAGGAGCTCCGCCCCCAAGAAGGGACCCAGAGCAGAGCCACTTTCCTCCCAATTGAGAAGAGCCCACTGAGGTGTTTTGGACATCCACTTCAAATACTCCCTGGGAGCCTCCTTCAGGAGGTGCTCCAAGAACTTCGCACCAGGAGGAGGCCCAGGGACAGCCCAACTTTTTGCGCTTCCCTTAAATGAGCTGGAAAGGGTGTATAGGAGGGGGAAGTTTGAACATAAGCTCTATATCCAGCCGTTCAGCAAAGATACTGCTCCATGGCTTTACATCTTATTTTAAGATTTGACCAATTAGATGAGCCCTTGAATGATATATTACCTACTGTCAATTAAGTTGGAAAAAAAAGTTAACAAGTTAAGAAAAAAAAGTAAAAAGCTCATTGAAAAGTTAACAATTATATTTAGGTTTAACTAAAAAATGTAAGTGCCAGTATCAGCATTAATGCCTTTAAGGTTATGTTGTAGCAAATAAAATGTGTTTCTTTCACTCTCAGAGAGCGACGGCGAACCGAGCAGTGAACATGATGTCAGTGCGGCTGAGGAGAGACATGGCGAGAGAGATGAGAGCAGAGAGCAGGAGGAAATAGGTTACTTTGCCCGTCCTGATTCTTGCCTTTTACAAAACTTTTTGAATCACCACCCACAACAAAGCACAAAAAATCCAGTTGTGCAAAAGATATTCACCACTAAAAATGCAACCAACAGGAGGTGGCTCACATATTTTGTTTTGTATGTATTGCATTTGGAAAGACTACTGACACAAGCTCATTTATTACCGAGATCTCTGATTGGAGGCATGTGCACCAGCGCACAGAAGAGCATGAGAAGAGTAGCGTTAATTTGTGTGGTTGACTGTGATCTCTCTCTCTCTCTCTCTCTCTCTCTCTCTGATCTAAGAATTGTTGCTGTGCTGTGGTGGAGTTTACAGTGTTAATAAATTAAGATTTTGGAAGTATTTTAAGTGTCCACTCTCACTAATTTCCATTAACCTGGCCTCAAGGTATTGCACAGTTGGTATACACATTCAGTACACAAAAAAAAATGTGGTGTGCCAGTCTAGTCTGAAATGCCAGGGCCGATTTTTGTCCCAGTCCACCCCTGGATGTAAAAAGTTAATTCCTCCACTGTGAGATCAATAAAGTCTTATCTTATCTTAAAATGGGATTGGAGAGGAGTCCAACAGGAGTTTTCTTTTTGTTTCAGATCTTATTTATCAGTTTCAAACCACTGTCCCCTCATTGTGGAGTTAGTACTGACACATTGTGTTGTGTTCCAGAATTATGGGAACTAAAATGTAAGTAAAACATCAGACACTTTATGTTAATTGATTGATTTTGGATTTATGTAAGTTGATGATTCTGATTTGACCATTGTAGCCCAATGAATGTGCTTGTGCAGCGCCTTGTACTAGTTTGGTTCCTAGATAAAAATCTAAAGAGCATGGCCTGCAATCGTACTTATCCCTATTACTCATATACCCCTAAAGAAATCTCAGTGCACTCAGTCCCAGGCTTTGAACATATATCTGAATTTAATAATTTTACATTATTGATCTCACATTGGAGAAATTTACCTCTGCATTTAACCCATCTCCTTGGGGAGCAGAGGGCTGCCCCTCCTGGGGCCCCCGGGGAACAATTGGGGGTTAAGGGTCTTGCTCAGAGACCCAGAGTGGCAGTCTGTGGGAGAAGGTTTCGAACTCACAACCTCAGGATTCCAAGCCCTGTGCCCTAGTGATGTTTTAATGAGGCATCTTAAAGCCAAACTGCAATGATGCTGCGTTGATACTGCCTCACAGAACACTGACACCTGCTGGACATTTAAAGACACTACAGGCAGTTTATTTGACAGACTAAACTGAATTGTTTTAATGACCTAGGCTAATATATTTGAAGTTATTGTAGGTTGTATTATTTCATATCTATGTTTAAATTGAAAATATCTTTGATATTTTTAGGTGCAGCAAATAAATAATGTAAAAATATAACTTGAAAATGTAGGGGGAAATGTGAACGAGGATGCTTGTGGATTTTAAATCCTAATTTTAAAACAATAAGTACAGTAAAAACAGCAAATAAAGTAAGGGTCAATTTTAAATCAACTTTAATTCAGACAAGTTGAGTGATAACGGAGAGGAAAATGATGACACAACGAGAACATTAAAATAAAAACGCATCAGCTGAAATGTTCCCACACAGAGTTAAACATGTAGTGTCAAAGTAAATTGACTTTTTTAGAGTTATTCCAACAACAACTGGAGTATGATATACACTACGTAGAGTTCTAATTTAACACTAAATCAAAATGGGACCAAATGCACTCTTAAAGTGTCACTTAACACTGCAGAATTTACTGTGTATTCCTTTTAGGCTGCTCCAAAATTCTTGATAATGATAATTAAAATGATCATTTTAAAAGCTGTAGACTTTCAGGACTCAGGTTGGGTTATCTGTAGGACAGCATTCAGAGCTGGGTTGAGGTTGCAAAGAGCAGAGGGACCAACAAGGGTGAATATATAACTATCTAAAATGGATTATGAACGATCTTAAGCATTTTGAAAACATTAATTATTTTTAAAAAATCCATTCAGAGGTGGAGAGCATATTTGTTTCTTTCTTTAATGGTACCTGATAAGATTTTCTAAATAAAAGCACTACTGCTCATTTAAAATAATAATGTTTACAGATGGATGATTAATTAGAGATAAATCAGGATTC